GGCGAAAGACGCGAGTACCTAGTTTGACCCCAATGTCTTTGGAACCTTTGGTCGCAAAGTCGACGGGCCTGACTCCCTGAAACATACATCATGATTAATCTTTTGCGTGGCATGTCCCGATGAAAATGACACTTGCAGCAAGTAATGGCATACCCTGTTCCTGGGATGTACAAGCGAGTTGAATCAGTATTTCCCTGGATCATTGCCCTCGCTCGCATGTTGGTTTCGGGTGCACAAAGGGTTTAATCTTCGAGTGATACCTCCTGGATCCTGAGCCGCCATGTGCAAGCAGGTTTTGAGGTGATTGCTGCCCAGACCTGCCCTCCAGTATGCAAAGAATGAACCCCAAAAGATCCCGAATCACCTGCTGCCAAGAATAATTGGGAGTTTCCATGTTTCGGATCCGCTAGGGGGCCCCAAGTATTGGAGAATTTTGCAGAGGATATTTAGCTTCGGAATCTGTGAAGTTGGCTAATTGCAGTTTCAATCCTAACTTTAAAGCGACCGTTGAGTTGTTCGTAGGACACAGCAGTTTCAGCACAAGTCCTTCAGAAGTCTTCATGTAACTTCTTCCAAGCATTCTTGAACTTCGGAAGACCCATGATTTACATACACCCTAGGCTGCGGGGTTGAGGGTTTTGGGGCCAGGTTGAGGGTTTAGGGTTCGAGGGTTCAGGGTTTACGACGCAGAGACATCAAGGTCTTCGCGGCCCGAGTGCTTCAGATTTACATTGTGATGCCGTGAATACCTCCTGGGCCTAAAGTCCAAGCCATTCAGGAATGTGGCCGTGAACGAGGAGCTCCCCGTTCGAGGATGGCTGCTGTCGCTTAGCTTCAATGCAAGATAATGCAAAAGAAGCTGGAAACTACTATAAACGGGTAGAACATGGGGGTATAATATGGGGATAATGGAAAAAATGGAATCTACTATTTAGGGTTTGGGGTTCGGGGTTTAGGGTTACGTAAAATCCATAGAGCTACGATTGGCCCCCAATGTGCACCCAGCCCTAACATTAACAAGTCTTAATAACAGTCGTTGCAGCGCCTCTTTTCGGGTTCCATGCCACTTTGGGGAGAGTGTCAGGAGCGTCTCAGGGTTGCAAACTTCCGAAGAGGCCCGCAAAAAGGGATGTTTCATAAATGCATGAGGGGCTCACTATAGTAGACTCACAAGGTAGATTCCGTGTGTCAGCACCCCAAATTCCCAAATCGAATGCGGATTTCGGGGCTATAATGGTGGGTCAGTAAGATGTAGCCAGTAACGCCAGCCCATCACTGATCGTCCCTTCTGGTTCGGGGGACTCTTGCTGAATGCCGCTATTGAGTCATTAACCACGCCAAATTTCTACACAGTTCCCATAAGAATGCAGACACGTTTTTCCCCAGATTCAATGATTTCAGCCCCGAACCCTAAATTTCCCACCACTCAATGCAGTTCATAATCAAAGTATGGATCCCCGTGGTAGCACCTGTTGAAATCTCTGCGGATATAGTTTTTGTTTCGACTCTCTTTGGGATTTCCAACCAGCAACTCATGTGACATCTTGATGATGAGTAGACCCAACAGACAGCACAAAGTTGTAAGTTTCATGTGATCCCAGCACGGAACCAGAAAATTCCTAGACTCAGGCCTCACAAGCCAAAAAACCCTCAACCCAGCCCCTTGCTCGTTTTCTTTCGGCTCAAGGGTAGCAGAACCGGCCCAGCAAGTCGCAGAGTCAAAAATCCCCGGGTGAGCTATGGCGGAGGGAGAGGATGCCCCGAAGAAGCGAACCTTCAAGAAGTGCCCCGACTATCTTCGACTTTACGGCTAGGGTTATATGGGGGGTTATGTAGGGATTATGTAGTGATTACAAAGGGGTATATAGGGGTTAGGGCTTACTGGTAGGAGTTTGGGGGTTGAGGGTTTCGGATTTAGGGGATAGGGCTTGGAATATAGGGCAAGTGGGAGCCCGATGCCCTGAAGCTTAACGTGTTCGGTGGCATGAGGTACTCCTACCGCGGCATCGACCTGGACAAGCTCCTTGATATGAGCAACCAGGACCACAGATTCACAGTCCACTTTAGACTGCTCATTGGAGCACTGCAAGCAGCAAGGTCATGAACAACTAGATCCTGTAGCGGGTTTGGGTTGCTGAGGAAATTTGAGTCAGGATTTTGGGGACACCACAGCTCGTTAGTTGTGCCTGCTCAGTTGCGCTGAGTGGTTGCAGCCTGCTGCACAGTCCCCTGAGCATCCAGCACATATACGAGTCCGCCCAGCAGCGAGTTGAAACCCAAACACCAAAACAAGTGGGAGGACCTCATGGAGCTCTTCTGCGCCCGGCAGCGCCGGAAGTTCAGCCGAGGAATCAAGCGCAAGCCCATCACCGTGCTCAAAAAGCTGCGCAAGGTCCGGAAATGGGGGGACCCAAGAGAAAACGAGGAAGACGACATATACTTATACATGCATGCATACCTTCTTGGCGTACCTTGATATCTTTGTAGTGATGAGGAGCAGAGCTTGTCGCTTGGTGGTAGGGGATTACGCACTTACTTTTAGTTTCTTGATAGTTACGCGTTGGGCCAGCCAGCTTCTTGGAAGAATGCGGCAGAACTCGTAATCTCGTCGCGTGCCTCCGGCATTGTGCTTGGCCAAGAAACCTTGGGTTAGGCCCCCCACCCGTACTGTAGGACTATATAGTGACCTTAATATGGTCACTATTATCCCCTGGCGGTCACTACTAGTGGGTCGGGGCCCGGCCTACAGCAAACCCCAAGCAGGTTTTTGGATTTTTAATGGAGAGCATTCTGGCTTGGGGGAACGAAATCCCTTTAAACCATGCAGCAGGAAGCTTTCGCCCTGTCATTCAAAAACCAAAGCCCAAAACCTTAACCCTCTTACTACCTACAACCCCTTAACCTTTAACCCCTGAAGTCTAGAACCCGGAACATACAACCCATAAACCCCTGCGTCTACCCCTTTTACGACTCAAAGCATCGACTTTGGGTAGTTTCCGTAAGTTTGAGACCCCAATATCGACCCCAATATACTGCAGTCTAAAGTGCATCCCTAATTCTAGGAAACTCCAAACCCTAAGCCCTAAATAACTCCCATAACCCCTTTACAACCCCTACATCCCCCTCTTAAGGGACCCCTAATTTTAGGAAACCTCCTTCTGAGTCCAGGCCAAGCGAGAGACGGCCTACGGAGAGAAGCCCGAGGCAGTGAAGACGCATCTCCGCCCCTGAGACCGCAGAAGTTTTGGTATAGCGGTCACATATGAGCCCCAGTCTAAGCTCCTAGAATAACCCTTATAATACTCCTCTATATAACCCCCCCTACAAGAATAGCTCAAACATGGGGCGAGAGGAAAGGAAGTTTGGGTATGTCGGGTTCCGGGTGTATGGGTTAGGGGTTAGTGGTTGCAAGCAAAGATGCAAAAAGGGGTTGGGGTTTGGGTTTTCTTGGGTTTAGGGTTTCGGGGGTTTTAGGGTTCCGGAGGTTTTAGGGAGTTTGTTAGGCTTTGGGCCATTGGCGGTTCTGAGGTCCAAGGTTCAGGCACCTCCGCCCAGACCGCAGAAGGGTTCAGGATGTGGGAAAGAAAAACAAGAGCTACCACAGTGTTCAAGATTCTGGGAGTTTTCCGCAAGAGGGTTGAGGAGTTGAGGTTTTGTGTTATTTTGGATTTTATGGTTTACGGTTTAGGGTTGAAGTAGGTTTAGGGTGTAGGGATTCGGGGTTGGCGTTGACGGTTTAGGAGGTTTGAATAAACCCTAAGTTTCGCAGCCTCAGCTTTGAGTTCATGCGCCCTAGGGGTTGCACTGGATCCTGGTATTGCATGCTTCTTGGCTTGTGGGGTCAGAAAGAGCAAATCCCCACCCCGCTGCTAGTGAATGTCGCCCAATAATATACATACATATGCATCTGAAAATGTTGTTGTATAGTATTGGGAATGTCTAATCAAGCGCGTAGGGGGGTTGTTACGGGTAGAGAACTAACTTTCTAGGCGGTGTTAGCTGAGGCAACATGGTCATCGTGCCCGAGATGATTGGCAGCGTCGTGGGTGTCTACAATGGCAAGCAGTACATCAACGTGGAGATCAAGCCAGAGATGATTGGCCACTACCTGGGCGGCTGGGTTCGAGATTCGGGTTTTAAGGTTCAAGCTGTAGGTCGTGGGCGTAAGCAGTCCTTTATGGGGTTTAGATTCCTGGCAGCCCAAAGATCCTGAGGGAGGACAAGTTGTAGCAGTTTTATGAGCTATAAAGGATGGTTTATGATTGGTTTGCTTAGCCCTGTTTCGAGCAGAAACTTTGCAACAAGTGCCGTTTTGTTCTGATGAGAGGAAGCGTGTCCTCTTTTAGTTCAGAAAGTGCGATGTAGCACGGGTAACATCAAAGAGGAACATGCGTTCGAAGAGCATGAATGTCACTCTCATTGAGAGTACCCCCTTGCCTGTCTCCGTGAATAGTGAAGATCTCACTAAGACCTCCTACATGTTTGTTTAGAGAATCAAACTTGCTCAACACTTAGGCCCCACGCCATGGATTCCTTTTCGCAACCAAACCAGGTAAGGGTACTTCAAGATAATGGCCCCGGGTATATGGGCGAGTATCTTGTCGTGAGAAACAGCCAGGGTTGGGTTGGGCTCCCACCCAGGAATAGTGGTATCATTTGACCAGAAAGGGACCCGAAGATAGTTGCCATTATCCCTTGTAGTCACTCTGAGGGTGGGGCCCCAACCCAACCATAAACCTAAGACCCAAACCTCAAACCCCAAAACCGTATAGCACCGTTTAAAAAGGACTCAGGATCGCTTTTCCAAAACCCTAGACCCTAAACCCTAAGCCTCAAACCCTAAATCCTTAGCCTTAAACCCTAAATCAAAGCGTGCAAAAGGTGAGTTCTCCATCACCTACAAGCCCATCAAGCACGGCCGTGCGGGCATGATGAGCAAGAACTCGCAGTTTGTGCCACTGAAGCCTCTCGCTTGGTCCAGCTTAGGGCTTCAGGGTGTAGGGTTGGAGGGTTTACGGAGGGGCTTGGGGTTTTAGGGTTCAGGCTTTGGCCATAGGGTTTTGGGTGTAGGGTTTGGGGGATTATAGTCTCAGGTTTAGGGCAGGGGGGTTTGGCGGCTTTCAGATTCGGCAAAGAGGAGGGGGGGGGCAGGTTTACCGTTTGGAGATGTGTTCCATTACTGAAATTTGTAGGGGCCGAGTCAGCCCTTGACTGTCCCTTCTCCAAATATGCTATACGATTCGATATTAAGACATTACACAGCAAACGATATACAACGCATACTGCGCATGCCGTTCTCAACGCTACATAGTTTGGCTTCATCTACTGTTTTCGCGACACTTTTTCTTTACTGTATCTTTCAATACCCTGAACGCCAAACCCTAGACCCAAACACTCCCCAAGCCCTTGTAAACCCACAACCCTAAACTTGGAATCCCTTACATAACCGCAAACCTTATGTACACCGTAAGCGTTCACCCAAGGTAAGGGGGCGACCCGGATTTTGCTGCTTGAGACTGGGATCCGAGCGACGGCGGTTCGAAAAGGGCTCTGAGCCACCTGGGTTGTCCCAAGAACTAGGGATCACATTTTGGAAGAACAGGAATAGTAATTGTAATGATAATAGTGGCAGTAATTGTAATGGTAATGGTACTGGTAATGGTAATGGTAATCGCAAATATAGTAAATAGTAAAAGTAATACTAATAGTTACAACAGTAACAATAGTGGAGTCCCCTTGCGCCTACTTAGCTGTTTTTGGGCAATAAGGCCCCATGGTAGCAGCAAACAAGAGCTCCTTCAGCGGTGTTTAAAATAGAGCCTCCCTGTGGTGTGCAGGAGCATGGTCCTGCATCGAAGACTATGTGCAGAGAAGCAAATTCAAAGAGGGGTTCAGCTTGCACTTTGCTGGTACCTTGAGAAAAGCCTTAAACCCCAAACGCATATTGGAGACCCAAGAAGGGACAATAAGTTCGACCGCCCCCACATGATGTCTTGGAATCATCTCCTTCAGTTGGCAGCACCCCCCTGGGCCACAAACCTGGGCAATGAGTTTGCTTGCTGATGGCTAGAAGGGAATGAGGGCATATAATCCCTATGTACCCCTACAACTCAGATTTCCCTATTCCGGAGCAACCCCCAGTAAGTTTGGGGTTTAGGGTTGTCGAAGATAGCAGCGCGCTTGCTACCTCCGTTGTTTTCACTGAGCGCGGCCGCTGGTTTGTCGGACTTCTGCTGTCGACCCCGAAATCAGAATCCTTGTGCTCCGTCATACCCCGTGGCCATATTTCGCCATATGTGTCCATGGTATTTTTCTGCGCCAGATGACAGACAACTTTAAAAAGAATCCCTCGGGTATCTGCCTGGTTTCCATCATTTCTTTACAAAACTCGTTTTCTTTCATCTCAGATACGAACTTGGTTCGACGTTTGGTTTGCCCCTTAGGTACAAGGGATGCTCGGAGCCCCCTTAAGTTGCAAGGTGTCTATGAAGCTTATAGACGAGGGGGATGCAGGGATCCATATAGCGAGCTTTTATATGAGATGATGAAATAAAAGGTCCTCCGCATTCCGGCAGGACATGGACATGGGGATGGTTTAGTCGGTGAAGATTTATATTTGAGAAGAGGTTACTTGCTCAGACTTTGTGTCCCCCAAGTGCGCATGCGCCAACAAAAGTGCGCCCCCAAACCGTGCAGAGCCGTCCATCGAAGTATCCTAGAACCTAAGCCCTAAACCCTGAACCTTAGACCCTAAGGACGCAAAAAAGCCATAAGGTTGACACACCACCAAATGAGGGCTTTCTCTAGGGGGCAACTCATGGAATCCCAGGGATGGGCTTGATACCGAAGACCTTGGTAAACCAAACTACAATAAAAACCAAAGGTATAAGGTACTTGTGGTCATGCGGGAAGTTTAGTATCCACGTGTGGCTGGGCCCGCCTCAGCTGGACTGCCATCTGAGCAGACCTCTCACGAAGCCTTATGTGGACCCCTGATTACAGTGATTTCCTTATGCTTTCAAGGTCCTTAAATTCGGATTCGTGTTATATTCCTTTCAAGGACGTTAGTATTAGGGTCCCGGTTATTTTCTGTTTAAATGCCCCAGTATTGGGGTCCTTACTATCTTCCAAGCAAGGGCCTGAAGGTTAGGATCCATATTATAATCCGTAGTAAGTGGAGAAATCTTAGTAATCATGGGTCTACATGATCCATCTCAGATGATTCGAAACACTAGCTCTGATAAACTTCGGCCCCACCCTAAAAGGCTATAGTCTTAACTCCTTAAAGGGGGATATAGGGGATTATGTAGGGGATTATTATAGGGGACTTTAGCAAGTACAGTAGATCAATCGACTTCTGAGAACCTTGCACGCTGGGCGCCGGGGCGTCAGCTGTTTAAGTGAAGAGCTACGCTGACCTAAGAATATTGCCGCTGGAGCACATCCCTGCCAAGACCTTGAAACCCCAAACCCTGAAAGACAAACCCTGAAATACTCCTTAGATCCTTGATGAACAACTTGTCTTTGGGAGTTGACTAGTGGCCCTTAAACAGATGCATGTGGTATAGTGTAGATAGGGGCCGTGAAATTAAGCAAATCAGGGGCTTTTCTGGCCTTCCAACAGCTGCGTCAAGGTACAATCTCGCAGAAGCCAGCTGCTTGCTGAAGGTAGTGGCAGTGCTTGAGGGCCTCTCTGGGTTTGGGAGAGTTAAGCGGTTAAGGGTTCAGGGTATAGGGGTTTTCGGGTTGATGATCCGGTCCCCCCCCCAGATGGACTCTTGAGTAAGGGGTAGGTCCTTGGAAACAAATCCTACTGCTTCGGCTCGGTTTGTTCATCTTCCCGAGTGGGGCAGTGTCGTATTCAGGGTGAAGCGCAGTGTTCTCTGTGACGAGTGTTGCGGGATTTAAGGCTCAGGGCATATACCCTGAAATCCCCATATTTCCATTTTCTTTTCCATTAATAACCCCAATATATCCCTGATATAAACTTCCCGGCCAGATGCGGCAGTGGATTTCGACTTCAAGGTGCCGTGGCTAGGTGTATGGTTTAACCACCAGCTTGGAAATTCTTATGCGCAATGCCCGTGCATGCTATATACCCCTATAGAACCCCTACCCTTGAAAGGTACGAACCCTAAACCCCAAACCCTAAACTCCCAAACCTAGACCCTAAACCTCAAATGATACGTATGCATATACATGCACATATACATATGATATATATATATATATGTGTGTGTGTACACTCTCTGACTGGCAGAGCCAGTAAGGCATGGCTCACTGGCAGCTGCCCGCTACGGCTGCCTTTCTCTTCGCCATGGTGCTGGAATCCGCCGCCTTGCCTAAAGCAGTTTTATATTATATGGGACCTGATGAAGGGAATAATCCATGGCGCTCCCACTCGCAAGATTTCCTGGGATGCCTAGCGTGCACATCTTTGAAACCCTCCATATGGGGGTTTCCCGAACTAAGGGGTACTTCTTTGGAGGTCTCAGTAATGAGGATTATGATATGTTAGGGTTTATGTTGGGATCCCCAACTCTGCGTAAGTACCATATCCGTTTCCTGGAAATCTCAGGTCTTCTTCGTGCTCATGCACCTACCCTCACCAGGAGGTACACGGCCTCTGAGCATGCAGCTGGGCTCCCTTTCGCTTGGCCAGATCGGGGTGTCCTTAGGGATTGGGGGTATAGGGGGATTAAAAAACAGAGTAGCTGTTCCCCATGAGTGCGTTACGTATTCCATGAGAAGAGTATGATCTCACGCATTCAACTCAACCAGTGCACCCTAAGCCCTAAATTCTAACAGCCCAGGATTAACATCTTCGTTGGAGGCATGGCAGGAGGCCTCAATGTGCTGCTCACGGGCGGCCGGCTGGGCTGCTCGGCAAGTTTTTGTAACCTGGAGGTTCATGGGTAATCGCAAGATTAAAAGTGGGATGATGGGTCTCATAAGCTGAGTCATGACTATACATAGCCGAATTTCAAACCAAGTGTGGACGAGTGTTAAGATTCAGAGATCCGTTGAGGCCGCCATCGGTTAAGTAGACATGTTTTCTTAACAAATCTTATTGGTCCAGAACCGGGGTGTATCCCCCGAAAGCCTCTGATGAACTGCTAGACACAGTGCTGGGTCTGACTTCTTGGTGCTACCATTTAGCAGACAGAACTCGCTGAACACCCAATAAATCTGTCAGTGAGAGTTGTTCCTGAA